GGTGACGGATTGCAAATCCTATCAGATAATCTCTGTGAACCTTCTCTGCCTTTTTATTGGTTTTGTAGGTTTTGTTCTGGTAACATATAGGAAGTTTAATATATACTTAGATGGGAAAGATCCATTTCAATAATTTATTTTTCTTTGAAAGCAGTTTTGCTCAGCCAGTTCACACCTCATGCTGTGTGTCTCCAGCCCATAAATTGTGCCCAGCTCAGGCCGGGAAAGCAGGAGCCAACTCGGTGGGGGGGCGGTGGGGGGTGCACACAAAAAGCTGAGGTGCAAAACAGCTTGTGAAGCGAAAACCGGTCTTTAGCATCTTTCAGTCTTTCACCTGAGCATATTTCCCCCAGCCAGCCAGCCCGTGCAAATAAATCATTTTACTGGGGCTCTCTCAGCTCTTATAGCAGTCCATACATCAATTGTATCAATCACATTTGTACATATGTTGTCATTTATTTTCAAAACATTTTCTTTCTACTTGAGCTCCTTGTTTTTTCCCCTCCTTCCCACCCTCGTGACCCCTTGATAATGTATACATTATTATTTTCATATCTTACACCACCCTCTGTCTCCATTTCTGTTGGGGGGAGGGTGGTTATACATCGAACATTGTGATTGATTCCCCCTTCCCCCTACCCTCATGGTATCACTACTCCCATTACTATTCCCTGGAGGCGGGGGATCTGTCCTGGATTCCATGTGTCAAGAGCTCTTATCTGTATTAGTGTACACGGTCCAGTCTAGCCTAATTTGTAAGGTAGAACAGGGTTCATGATAGCAGGGGGAAGGGGGGAGCATTAAAGAGCTAGAGGAATGTTGTGTGTTTCATCAGTGTTATACTGCCCCCTGACTGGCTCGCCCCTTCCCTGTGACCCATCACAGATGGGCAGACCCTGACTCCCAGCTTACACCTACACACACACACACCCGCCCCCATTCTGTATCAATGCCCAAACCAACTCCACCAGGATTCAGTTCATGTGTCACCCTCGCCAGGGCCACCTGGAACTATGGGACCTGCCACAGCCCACCCACTGCCCCTGCCCCGCTGCTGGAGACGGGAGAGGCCTGGCCTCTGCCAAGCGCGAGGGTTCTACTCAGGACCCGTATGTGGGAGGGAGTGACAGAAAGGAGTCTGGCGAACCCATTGGTGGCAGCCCCGCCTCTGTCCCTACCCAAGTGGCCGGCCCACCAAGTTCCCCTGTGGGAGGCAGGTGCCTGCCTGAGCAAACCCAAACCCACTGCCAGCATGCTGGTTCTAACTCAGACCA